TTCTACACTGTCCACTAGCATCAGTTCGGTTTGGGCTGGTGGCGCCGGCAACAGCGGCTTTTGCTTCTGCAGCTGCTCCTTGGGCGGCTCGAACTTCAGCAGCTCAAACTCATACGGATGTAGAAAAGACACCACGTTCCCTGCATCATCATATTCGGGCAGTAGTGCCAAAGGCTTCAATGAATTGGGCTTCTCCTTAAGACGTGGCTTAAAAGGGTTTTGTGCGCTGTTGTCTACAGGGACCTTAAACTGCATTTGCGGCCGCATAATATTCTGCGCTGTAAACAGACGTGCCGAGACCATGCTGCGAGAGGGTGTGCCCGGAGCTGTGCTGTAGCGATTCCAGCTACCAGCACGAGGTGTTTCTTTTGTTATTGTTGATGTTGCGGCCCTTGATGTGGATTGAACATCGACCTGGGTTTCGACTACCATGTGTGGATTGCCGCGTCGTAGGCCGCTTATAATGTCTAGATTTGTGGTGATACGCTCGAATAGAATATCATTACATTCCTGCACCATTTCCAGCTGCTCGTCGCCCTGTCGCCTATGTGTGTGTAAAGAAGTTGTAAAATCATGTTTGGATATGTCTAAATGGAATTGCTGCGCACCGTTTAATATCCCCTGAAATATTCTCCGTCTTTAAAACCTTGTTAATCAGGCCCAGCACTCGCTGCGACTGCTCCTCCAACATGCGTGCATAGCCCGGGTAACTAAGATAGAGCGAACGCGCTGCACCCTGGGGAAACGCATTACAGTTGCGTGTGGCAGCTACAACATTGCGATAAGCCTCCTAAATGTCGAGATGAAGGGGAGTTATTGAGGTTAATATTTGCTGCATTTACTTACCGTCGTAAAGCTGATCAAGTCTATGGGCTCTGAGCTGGTTTGGGAAGTAGATGTTTGGGCAGTGGCATCCACTTCGGGTCCAGTCGACTGCTCGGGCTGAGTCGGATTGCTTCGCTTTGGTGGCTGCGGCATTGTGTTTGTGTGTAATTTTTTGCAGTTATTCTATATTTTTTTCTGAATGGTCTTGGGATTGCTGACTTCTTTGCTGTTCTCTTGTGGGTCCGGTAATTGGTTGGGTACAAAAATGTGCGTTTCTTCTTCTTCCGAAAGAATTGAAAACACCGATAATTTAGGGTTGTCAATACTACTACCAGCGGCAAAATTTTAGCAACTCATTGAAATCAAAGACTATTAAAAACGCTCCAATTCGAGCTGGCCATTCAATTTTACAGCAAAAAATGTTATAAAAAATTGAATGAGAGATTGGAATGATTTCGACAACATATTCGACCGCATCATGTTTTTAATCTGACAACTGGCAGCCCTAGCTATTGTTATCGTCAGGCAATTAAATATCGAAAGTATCGAAAATGTAGCCGTGCGGCATTCTCTACAATTACGTCGATGCCAATTCGATAATACGAAATACCAGCGCAAGCCGCCAGAACGAAACGTAATTATAAAGTTATCTATTAAGACTGCACCAAACTACCCCATCCATAACTCAGCCTAACATCCATACACCGGGCCGTCATGCTGGACTTGTACAGGCGCGCGGTGTCTCGCTTTCCACTGGGCAATGTCAGTTACATGTTCGCCTATGGTTCCGGCGTTAAACAGCAGGTGGGCTACGAAATTGTCAGCCAGAGGCCGGATTCTAAAAGTGTCGTCGATTTAGTATTTTGCGTACGCGATACCATGGGCTTCCATGCGGAGAATATACATCGGCATTCCAGTCATTATTCGGCATTGCGTTACCTAGGCGCAAACTTTGTGACACAGTATCAGGAGCACTTGGGCGCACGGGTTTATTTCAATACGCTTGTGCCGTTGCATGATCTTGGCGTGACCATCAAATACGGTGTGGTGCATGAGGAGCACTTAATTGAGGATTTGCTTCATTGGCGGCACTTATATTTGGCTGGACGCCTGCAAAAGCCCGTGACTGATCTCGTTAATCTGGACGACAATCCACGACTTAAGTCTGCCATGGAACGAAACCTGCAGTCAGCGTGCCAAGTCGCTTTGCTGCTGTTGCCCGAGAAGTTTACCAGCTACGATCTATTCACTGCCATTGCCGGGCTGAGCTACAAGGGCGACTTTCGCATGATTTTTGGCGAGAATAAGCAGAAGGTGCACAATATTGTCCAGCCACAACTCTCCGAGTTCTTTGCGCTTTACCAGCCGGTCATGCGGCATCTGTCACAGTACTTGGCTGTCAATATGCATGGCGTGGAACCGGGTTCACAAAAGCCAACGATTGTTTTTGAGCAAGATAAATCGCGTGATGCCACGCGATTTCACCTACGCCATTTGCCCAAGGAACTGTGCGGTCGGCTGCAGCGTAATGCCGCCTGCCGCGGCGACTACACAGATGTGGTAGAATATCTGGTGGCAGCACCACAGCCCTCCAAAATAGTCCAGGTCTCAGTTAATGACATTGTCTGGCGCAGCAGCGTCACGCAATCGCTTAAAAATATTGCCACTGCGGGTATTATCAAGTCCTTGGTCTACAGCTATCGCAAGGCACTGAAGACTTTCGCCGTTTAAGTAATTTTCGCATCTGCCATAGGTCCGCTAATCCTTCCTGCCAATTATTGACTAAGTTTCGCTTCTTGTGCAGTTTTTGTTAATTAATTTTAAGTCCCAAAGTTGTTGACCTCAATAGAAAAACTGTAGTTAAATTCAAAAAAGTAAAGCCATTGAGTTTTCATTGCCAGCAATTTTTGCCAATTTCAGAAGCCATGTCCAGCGATTCCAGCAGCTCCAGCGCCGAAGAACACCGGCGAAAGCGAAAACATAAAAAGCAAGACAGGGATGATGTCGATAAGAAGAAGAAATCGAAAAAACACAAACATGAAAAGCGCCACAAGGAAAAGAAGCGCAACAAGCGTCTCGAATCACCCGAGCAAGAGCAACTGCGCCTACAAATGGCCGTGGTGCCACCCAGACAGATACCGGAGCCGGTTGACAATTCAGATGCCTTTGGGCCTGCGCTTCCACCACATTTGACCAGTCCACAGGTAGAACCTCAGGCACAACCTCCGTCGATCATTGGGCCCGTGATGCCCAGCCAACTCCCGGAGCCAGCAACAGTTCAAGCTGATTTTGATAAACGCGAGGAAGATACCGATGATGACCTGGTGGGCACGTTTGGACCCATACCAAATGCCACACAAGTAGAGCTGGAAGAACGCGCTCTGGCCTTAAAACTAGCTGCTTTGGAAGGCGGCCTGGGCACTTCTACAACGGATCAAGATGTACGCGAAGAATGGATGCTGGAGTTACCCGAGGTGGGTCTGAAGAGCGGCCTTGCAGCTCTGAACAATATGAAGCGGACATTCTACCAGGGTAAGGAGCGGCCGGATTTTAGTGATCGTAGCGCCTGGACCAAGACACCGCAGAGTGTCGCCGCTGGCCCAAAACCATGTAGCTCCAAGGATTTGGAGCAAACAGCGCTGGTGAACTATGAGCGACAGCGTGACGAGGAACAGGAGCGCATTGCTAAGAAACACAAAAAAAGGCACAAACGAGATGAGTCTCTAGTCGATCTGCATCAGAAAAAACTGCGCAAGGAGCAGCGTGAACGGGTAAGATTTATCAACAATAAAGACCTTAAAAGTGCTAACTGTTCCATATTTGCAGGAAAGGGAACTGGCTGCCAGCGGTTCCAAGCCCGACCGGCGGCCCTTTAGCCGTGACGTGGACCTAAAGCTCAACAAGATTGACAAAAATCAAACCAAGCAAATAGTGGATAAGGCTAAGATACTTAATACAAAGTTCTCCAGCGGACAAGCGAAGTATCTATGATAAGCATTACATAAATTAGGAAATATATTCTTAAGAAAGTATACAATTAATTTAATATAAATATTTTGTTGTATTTTTTATCGCTGTGGCGGCGGCTTGGGCTTGGGTATTTTGGACAGTAGTATTTGAATCTCGTCCTTCTCTTTCCAGTCCTTCCACAGTTCATACAAATTGACAATAGCGCGCACTATCTCCTGCACCTTGTCCAAATCCACGTTCAACTCAGCGAACCATTGCTTGGTGGAATCCTTTTGCATTATGACGCAGGCGATTTGCAGACAGGCAATGGCAATCTAAAAGTATTTGAGGATTAAGTTGTCCATTGAGAATAAGGGGCCCTATTTTATGCTTACCTGATACGGCGGATAGAGCAGGCAGACATCGGTGCGAAGCGAGTCGTTAACAATGCGCCAGCTAAGCGTCAACAACTGATCCTCTTGACCCATATCCTGCACCAGCTGCAGCAAGGGCCGATATGGCTGGAACACAATCAGGCAACAGTCAAGATTCTCCAGTAAATAAAACTCGCACTCGAGAATGTGATTTGTGCGATAGGGAAACTCCTGTGTATAGGCATAGCTGAACTTGGTCTTGATGGCGGACTGGCAAATGGAGATGAGGCGCGAGTTGGAAATGACACCAAACTCCTCCACTTTGGAGGCTAGCAGTATGCAGGTGGGCGCAAGCAACAGCGGATCAATATTTTTCAATGAGTTACGCGCATAGAAGCGCTTGAAATAAACAGTTGCGGTGGCAATAACTTGTTGCCGCAGTTTTAGCTGCTCCCCAAGTACTTGAATGACATTGGCAAAGAATATAAATATCTTTTGATACTCATCCTCGCTGAGCGCCAGCAAATCGTTTTGGCGTTCTCGTAGCAAATCCTGCTTATCCAGTATCCATTGCTGTGAATGCGAGCTTTGCCAGAAGTTGCCGGCCATTATAAACTTAACAGCTTGTAGTAAGTCGGCTTTGATTTTTCGGCAGTAAATTAAATTGTATGTATTTTAATAAAAAAAAATAAACAGATTGCCGAAAACAGCAAAAATTAGGAAAAACAGCCCAAAACTCCGCATTTATCGCGTTGCCAACTTGAAACAGTGTGACCAGTGTTGTTAGCCAGCGAACAGCTGATTTGTGCGCAGCCAACTTAACGCCTTAACTTCTGTGTGTGAAATTTTCAGCAGGCGCCGCGACATCGGGAACGCAGAAGTTTTAGTTATTTTAAGTGCATAAATTATCGAACGATCATAAGAAACGATGGCGTTGCGTGTACTTGGAGCAACGCAAAATATTCGCACATATATGCGCGGCGTTGACCTCATCAAGGTAAGGAAACAAAACCATATTTCAGCTTACACCCCAGGATTTAAAATTACGTAATTGTGTATGTTGTAAGTTTCACATTTGCAATTTGCGCGTTGCATGCGTCCGTAGTGCCTCAGGCTTAATGGTGATGCCAGCACTCGCATGCCCCTTTAATAAATTTCTTTGAAAACTACACAAAATAGTTACAAAATTGCTATAGCAAATTTGAGGTTATGTGTCGCCAATTGCCCAACCAATGCAAAAGTCAACATTTTGTTTTGATTTCCTTAGCGCTACAAATCGGCTTTAACCGTCAAGAAGACGCTGTTGAACATACCCGCCACGCAGGTGACCAAGCTGGACAACGGCCTGCGCGTCGCTAGCGAGGATTCCGGCGCCTCCACTGCCACCGTTGGACTCTGGATCGATGCTGGTTCCCGTTCCGAGAATGACAAGAACAATGGCGTTGCCCACTTTCTTGAGCACATGGCCTTCAAGGTAAGCTTACATACAATCAAGTATATAAAATTATATTAATATATTTGTCTTCTTTATCAGGGCACTGCCAAGCGTTCCCAAACCGATCTGGAGCTTGAAGTTGAGAACATGGGTGCTCACCTGAACGCGTACACTTCTCGGGAGCAGACTGTGTTCTACGCCAAGTGCTTGTCCAAGGATGTGCCCAAGGCAGTTGAGATTTTGGCCGATATCATTCAGAATTCAAAACTGGGCGAGTCTGAGATAGCGCGCGAGCGTTCGGTCATTCTGCGCGAGATGCAGGAGGTGGAGAGCAACTTGCAGGAGGTGGTCTTTGATCACTTGCACGCCACCGCTTACCAGGGCACCCCCTTGGGCCAGACCATTCTCGGCCCTACCAAGAACATTCAGTGAGTGAAAATAAGTTGTTTTATATTTAAGATGTGGGTAAACATCTGTGGCTTGCAGGTCTATTGGCAAATCCGATTTAACCGATTACATTCAGACCCACTATAAGGCATCGCGCATTGTTTTGGCTGGTGCTGGTGGCGTCAAGCACGACGAGCTGGTTAAGTTGGCGGATCAGTCTCTTGGCCGCTTGGAGGCTAGCGTTCTGCCAGCAGAAGTGACACCTTGTCGCTTCACCGGCTCAGAGGTGCGCGTGCGTGACGATTCGCTGCCATTGGCTCACGTAGCTGTCGCTGTTGAGGGATGCGGCTGGACCGATCAGGATAACATCCCATTGATGGTGGCCAACACTTTAGTTGGTGCCTGGGACCGCTCCCAGGGCGGCGGCGCCAACAATGCATCCAACCTAGCACGCGCCAGTGCCGAGGACAGTGAGTATTAATAACGAATTGATCTTTGTTCTATTGTATAATCTTCGCTTTGTGTTATAATTGCAGATTTGTGCCACAGCTTCCAGTCTTTCAACACCTGCTATAAGGATACTGGCCTCTGGGGCATCTACTTCGTTTGCGATCCATTGCAGTGTGAGGTATATCAAAATATTTTTTTGCATAGGGTTGTTTTTATATATAGAGCGAACTATTTTAGGATATGATCTACAACGTGCAAACCGAATGGATGCGCCTGTGCACCATGGTCACCGAGGCGGAGGTTGAGCGCGCCAAGAACTTGTTGAAGACAAACATGCTGCTGCAATTGGATGGTACTACACCTATTTGCGAGGACATTGGTCGCCAGATTCTGTGTTATAATCGCCGCATCCCGTTGCACGAGCTGGAGCAGCGCATCGATGCCGTCAGTGTGCAGAATGTGCGCGACGTGGGCATGAAATATATTTATGACAGATGCCCCGCTGTGTCCGCCGTTGGGCCCGTTGAGAATCTGCCCGACTACAACAGAATTCGCTCCTCCATGTACTGGTTGAGGGTTTAGGATCCATGCCGGTGCTAAAACATTGTTGCTAGCCGAGTAGTTTAATTGAAGAAAATTTTATGCAAGAGAATCAGTAAAAACCAAAATAAAATAAAACTTACTAAAATAAAATGCGTTAATTGTTCGATATATTTTATTGATATTTATAACTTAATATTATTAAGAAATTGGTGTAAATTTTAACCTAATCGTGCGAGTATTTGATGGGTATACCGCTGAGACCCTGCTGCAATTTGGCTGGTTCGGTTTGTCCCAAAGCTGGATCCAAGCCCTGCCAAGTGCGATCCTCAAACGTCAGACCCGTGTCAGTTGTCATCAGAGCCATTTTGGCCTGAGTAGCCACTGTGGTATTGCTTGCATCGACGGTCTCATCGCAGCCAGTACCGCCTCGCATGCGTCCGCTGACCAGGCTCATATCCTGTGGCTGCACGGCCTGCGCATCAAAGGGCAAAAAGCTGCGACCCTTGGGCAGTAATTGCTTGAAATCTGTGACATATGCCTCCGGGTATTTCATATGCCAGGCTGGATTCAGCGCCATTTCCGCCTCGAAGACGGATACAATGGGTTTGTAGTACTCCTTGGAATTATACATATTATTAAAGGGACAGCCAATTAGCACAAAGCAATCAATCTCCAGGAAGTTTGCCAGTTTGGCGGGATTTATGCGACCAACGGAAATCAGCTGCGTCTTGATGCCACGACTCTTTGCCATTTCCTGCAAACGCGTCACCACGTCCAAATAACCGACAGCGCTCAATGTGGCCACAATAAGGCCCAGAGTCTGTGCATCTTTGCACTTCTCTATATAGTAATAGCGTCGGCGTATATATTGAGCTGTTAGCGGATTTTTGGCACTCAGTGTGCCCTTGGCACCGTCCAATATATGCCACTGGAACGCTTTAGTAGTTAGCGACAAATTGGCAAAACTTTGATTATCGGCACCCACAAAAATGCAAATACGCTCGGCATTCGCGGACTCCGCTAATTGCTTGCTCTCAATGAAATCTTCAGCCGGCGGTGGATACGGCTCGATGAGCAGCTTCTTGGGCTGCAGCACATCGCGCAGCTGGTTATAAAGCGTATCTTCGCCCTCAGTTAATACGCCACCAGCTGGCTGCTGCTCGTACAGATGCTGATAGCCAATGTCCAGGTAGACGCAAACCTCTCGTTCGCCGCACTCCGGCTGCAGCGTAGCTAGCTGTTGCAGTATTGTGGCCAGATCTATCGACAGCACCGGATACAAATAAAGCACCGGTAGGCGACTGGCTTTGCTGCGGCAAGCATTGCCAAAATGAATCATGCTGTCCGCCTCCACATGAGCCGCAGCTATTTCATCCACGCAACAGCTTCCATATGTCGTGTCTGCTAAAATGAATATTTTGCACTCCTCTGCTGCCAGAGCTGTCTGTAGATAGGTGCTAATAGCATTGCTGTGTGGCAGATAATCATCTGGGAATTGCAGACAGATCTGAGAAATGCGTTAACATCTAGAAACGACATTTGGTGATAGAAACTACGCACCCGCTTATAACCATTTTGTCGAATCCAGTTGCTGCTAACTTTTTTGTGCGTCTCGTTCCAGATTTGTTCAAATATTACCGGTAATTCAGCTGTCAATTCTGCCTGGCGCTCCAACGCCGCCGTATCCAGGCTGGAAAAGGCAGATGCTGTCATTATTCCTTTAAATAATTCGCAAAGATCGTGAAATAAACAAATGAAGTGAAAGGCCGATAAGCAAGATGATATGTACCTACCTATCGATAAGTCTTACACATTGTACAACTGTAGTTGTCTCGCTCTAATATAAGGAATTTGAGGTATTTTAAAAAATCAGTGCATATCGCTCAAAAAATGAGCTATCGATAATTTAGTGCTTTCCACATCACTAAGTAAACTGCTCGCCAACTAAGAAGGCAAGCGAAATTTGTCGAAACTGACCAGACATATTTGTTTTTGTGGGAATCAGACGCGCCAACGAATGAGAATACGCGCGCATAACTCAACGTGAAGCGACAGCAGACAAGCATAAATTAGATACGAAATATTGTGAAAACTTTTGCAAATCTACAACTACAATGGATGACTCACGCGAGGAAAGCCAATTTATTGTGGATGATGTGAGCAAAACAATTAAAGAGGCAATCGAGTCTACTATCGGTGGCAACGCGTACCAGCACGATAAGGTAAACAACTGGACCGGCCAGGTGGTTGAGAATTGCCTTACTGTGCTGACCAAGGAGCAGAAGCCATACAAATACATTGTCACCGCTATGATTATGCAAAAGAATGGCGCCGGCTTGCATACGGCCAGCTCCTGCTATTGGAACAACGATACCGACGGCAGCTGCACAGTGCGTTGGGAGAATAAGACCATGTACTGCATTGTTTCCGTTTTCGGCCTGGCTGTCTAGGCCAGAAATCAAAAACACACAAATCACTAACAACATCAATGGGGGAGGGATTAACAAGATTGCCTTGCATTTGTTTTGCGTGTGAGTAAAAATTTTATACATTTTCAAAAACCAGTTATCAATTGCCACATTCTACAGCTGGACACAGAGCCCAAATCAGTTTACTTAACTCTGCTAAAATACTTCAGCGAACTGTTTGTTCCAACCACATATAACAAGGAATCTAACCAATCTATATCACGTTACAACGACGAGCCAAGCATTGTCAAATTCTAAGAATGCAACAAACACATACAGCAAAATTTCCAATTATATAGCAAAATGAAATGTATTTGTATTATTTTCTCGAGTTCTGAATAACAAAAACTCCACGCAAGTGTTGAATGTTACTCACGGTTTATCATTTAAAAATCTAAATAAAATGAAATGTAAAAATAAATTGTGTTTTTTTAAGATACAAAAAACGGCACGCAGCGTTAAATTTTACTCACGACGAAAAATAAATCGTCGGTTTTTAGGTCCTCTATTCGGCCTTGAACTCAAATTGGTCCGAAATTGTTTAATCGATGCAACTGCTGCAATCAATACAGGGTGTTTTTTTTTTTTAACTGCTCTCTTGATACTAAATTTGTGTCTGCTATTTCTTGCGCTGAAAGCGCCTGGAAGACGTCAGCGCGGGCACAGTGCTGGGTAGCCGCAGTGATAGCATATCCGAGCGGGCTTTCGGACGGGCATTTACAATGTGAGCATAGGCAATGATGCGATCCTTGGATGTGCGCAGAATGCGTGAGAGTATATTGACGTCCACTTCATGCTTCTCACTGATAAGCAGGGCAAGCACAATGAAATGAGTGAGTGCCTTCTCTGTGCTAAAGCTGGTGCGTGTGAAGGATTTGGCAACATTGGGATCGGCAAAACGATGTCGTACATCGTTCTCCACCTTTTCCGTGATGCGCGACAGTTCAACATGTTTCATTTGTCTTTTACGCAGCGCGATTAGCGATTGCAGCGCATCCATGTAGATAATCAATTTAATGTTGAGGATGTCCTGTTTCGAGGTAACTTCCTTATCCTGTATGCGCTTGATGCAATCGCGCAAATAGTCCGATTCGATGCTGCATGTGAATGTTATTAGCTGAGATTTGGTTAATGGTATATTCAACTTACGGCAGTGTCTCCAATGGCGTCGAGTACACACTGTTGGCCTCTTCGTCCAGGCGATCAAGTAGTGATTGTGGCACCACGTCCTCCACTTCGTAAATTTCGCTTACTTTTGTTGCCGCCTTATCACACTTGGGCACAATGGTGGCCAAGTATTCCGCATTGTTTGCGTCCACTTCGGGCAAACTATCATCCTCTTCATTCTCGCCATTATGGCGCACAGAGCTCTGCACGGTTTCATCCAAATCTTTACGCATCACATCCACATTGACCATCATTTGCTCGTGATTGGCCACATAGCGGGATGCCTTGCGTCCGCCAAATTCTTTGAGCAGCTTTTTCGTGGCATGTTCTTTGCTCAGCATTGGTCGGTTCTCCAGCTTCTCCATCTTCTCGTAGATGTGGTTGGACAGCAGCGCTTGTTGCACAGGCACAATTGTTGCTTTATTTGTGGTTTTGTTGCGCACGCAAATATACGTATCAAACTCTTCGCTATCCTGCAGATCCCCCACATAGGTGTTAACACCGGCCATGACCAAGGCGCGCTTGCGTGGATTTCGATTGTTTTTGCTCTCAACCAAGCAAAAATTGGAGCTAGCGCCGAGCGAGCCATTCTGAAAATTTACTGCAACCCGAATCCGTTTTAGTGGCGGCATGCTTTGGTTTTATTCAATACATACGCATTGTGGGTAAATATGCATCTTTTTTTCGTTTGTGAACCGTTTCAATTAATGTTTTCTCATCCATTTTTATTTAATTAAAATAAAACTAAACTATATTAAAGTTTGAATGTGCCGTTGCACGTGTAAGAATTCTAAATAGCAAAGCAGCTGATTTGCGGCGCGGCGTTGCCAGATGATTGCTGTCACCAGAGTTACCAAATTCAGCACGCGCTGCGCAGCCCGCCAATTTTAAACTGTAGATATTATGGATTTCGTACCACCTCTGCATTTATATTAAATCCCGAAAAGTTGTAATGCTTGCTTTTGACTATTTTCACAACTTGCTGTAATATTAAATATATTTTAAGCTACATTTTAATTGTTCAGGTTTTATCTACTCACCAGCACAAGTTTTATTAAAAATACTGCAAATGTCAGAAAATTTATGCTCATAAGTGCCGCTTCCGGTGGAAAATCCAAATTGGATTCATCCAGCAGGCTGCGTCGTCGTCGTCTGTGACGCTCCGTTGGCTGCCACAGCACCGAGAATTGTTGCTCTGTGGGACGTATAATGCACTTAGTGTCAACTCTTTATTCAATTTTAAATACGCACCAATAACTTTCATGAAAGTATCGCGTAGTTGCTTCAGTAATTTAATTTTGCTTTCGAAGTTGAGCGCTGATTTCTTTATCCAGCCGACTTGCATTTTTTTCAGAAATTTTATAAAACCCTGCATGCTGGGCAACATCAGCTCTTCATTATCGACCGGATCTGCGTTATCCGACTGTTCGGTGGCCGTTTCCACAATGCCATCTGCATCCTCGGCACTCTCCACATGCGACGAGTGACGGCGTGATGTGGTTTCCACTTTGGGTGTAACCACCAAATCCACATCCACTGACGGCATGCTAGAGCTATTCTTCACCACCAACTTGGTCCTGGCATGAATCACCTGACTGCCGTTTGTGACAACAATTTGTGAGCTGTGCTTCAGCCCGCCTGCATCGCTGACTATCAGCGGATTGCTCTGACTGTTGCTCAGTCCAAATCGTTCGCGCTGATACTCGATCCACACGGCGCTGGGCGTGGTGAAGCCCTCGGGATTAACATTTCCCTCAACGGGCAGTTGCTTGACTTGCTTGGGGGCTTCAATTGGCTGCGAGTGCGAGTGCGAGTGAGATATCTCCACCCACTCGCTTAGACTGAAGTGGGACAGTGCCAGCAGCAGGCACAGCTTGGCCACAAAGAGTTGCATCTTGTTCGTTAAATGGCTGTGCCGCGACTGTCTGGAAAAGTGGTTGGAAAAGTCTTTCAAAGAAAAGGGTGTCAACCGTTGCATGCCACTGAACGGATCTGTCAGCGATTTGTGGCACAGATAAACAAGATTCATTTTCAAGCATTTTTTTTATTTATCTAAATTGTTTTCTTCTTTTCTTTTATAATTGGTTCTAAAATACGAGTACAGCTGAGCGTTTTCGGGTTGGTCTATATGATCATATAGTATGCATATTTTATGTACTGTAATTCGTTAGGTTTTTCTTTTGGCTATAAACTAGTTTTGATTCTTAAGAAAAATTTAGCACAGATATTGCAGTTACAAATGTAGCTGGACAAGCATGTGAGAAATATAATTTTTTCAGATGGAAATGTGATTTTCTTTTTCTTTTTTTTTTTTTAGCAAGAGCAAGCGCTAGTGCGAGCATGAAAAAAGATATTTCAAAATTCACAGTTACATCGAAATTTTGGCGGTTAAGTTTAGATCGATGAAAATTTTTAATTTAGTTTTTTTCACTTTCGAACAAGGTGCTAATTAAAAATTTTCGTTAATTTACAGTCAGTGAGAAACATATGTATGTATGTGTATATAAACAATAAAATATGTATAGAAAAAGCAATGGCTAAGTGGACGCTATTTGATGTGCTTGCAGAGATGAAAGCGCATCCACTTCAACGCCTTATCGCCAATGGCCTCCACTTTCGGCGAGCTGGTCAGACGATGGCAGCCGGCACAGTTCGATGGGGATGGATAGCTATCGCTGGGCGCGCTATGGCAGCCGGACAGCGGTTGCATCAGTTCTGGATTTGTTGCGGTTGTTGTTGTTGTTGTTGTTGCTGTTGTTGCTGTTGTTGTTTTGCCACCTGCAGCAGGTCAAATGTCACCAGCGCTGTCCCAGCGCACATCGTCCGCCTCATGGGTGAGATAGCGTCCCAGACCCACTTGCGTCTCCAAATTACGCAAATCCCTGTATGTCTGCTTATCCTGCAGCCAATAGTGCATCAGACTCTTGTCGCATGTGTAGCGTTTGCGCTGCTTCACCTGCAGCAGGTTGTTGATGAGGTCAATGGCTGGCGGAGGGTGGATGAAGAAGATGTTCAATATTTTCTTTGATATGCTTGTATAGTTTTACGGTATATCCCGGCCTTGCCCGATACAGGTTTTCTTTTTTTGAGTTTTGATTCTAATTTTAAACATCAAAGTTCCAAATTTTATATATAAATTCGAAAATGAGCTTAAGGTCTATCGAGTTAGAAATATAAAATTTTTAGAAATATATAATTTCGCTCATTCAATTTTTAACTCGCATTTTAATCTAAGAGTGGATTTTGGGAAAGGTGTGGAACAACTCTTGAATAAATTTTCATAAAATTCCTTGGAAATGAGTTTGAGGTCGAAGTTTCACCCATCTTTGGCTCCAAAGCTCCAAAGAAAAGTGTGAAACAGGTCTCGGATGAATTTAAACTATCTTCTTTAAAAGTGAGTTGAAAGCTAATCGGATGGTAAACTAAAAAGTTGTATGCAACTGCTTTCCGCGATTTTTCCACACTTGCGCGTGAAATATCCCTAAACCCCGTCTTAGCGTGGTCAGGTAAAACAGCTTTATATAGATAGATATCTGGGCTTACCATTCGAGGAGATCTCCTTCCATGGATTTGGTGGATACATGAATGCCGCGTTCTGTATCTGATCGTTAATATCCTCCTCCTCGTTAAAGGGAAATGTGCCGCTGAGGCTCACATAGATGATGACACCGACGCTCCACATGTCCAGCGAGCGATTGTAGCCCTTGTTGCGCAACACCTCGGGCGCCAGATAGGCGGGAGTTCCCACAACCGAACGTCTGAAGGATTTCTCGCCAATGATGCGCGCATAGCCAAAATCGCAGAGTTTTACCTGCGGAAATTCAGCATCCGAAGAGAGCAACACATTCTCCGGCTTCAGATCGCAATGCACAATATTCTGGGAGTGCAGATACTTCAGGGCAATCAGGATTTGTGTGATCAGAAACTTGGTCACACGCTCGCTGAGACGGCCGCGCGAATGCGAGAGTATCATCTCCAGCATGTCACCCTTGAGCTTCTCCATGACCACAAATATGCGCTCCGGTGTCTCGAACATACGCTCCAAATTTACGACGCCACAGTGGGTTATGTTCTGGAGTATGGCCACCTCGTTTTTCAGTTGTGCCTCCTGTTTGGTGGGGAAGCGCAGCTTGTCAATTACCTTGATGGCCACCTCCCGCTTAGACTTCTTGTGGACACCCCCGTAGACGACACCGAACTGACCGGAGCCGAGCACTTCGTCGGGAAAGATCTGATATAGCTGACCCATGTCCTGCACCTGTTCCTCCGATTCGCAGCATTCTGTAAAAAGAGAAAGAGAAAGAGGGACAGAGCAAGGGATTAGGAACTTGTAGTTGGGCTTCCATGACGGTGTGGTTGCTACTCACGCGTGTTGGTTACATGCATGAAGGCTTGGCGTATGCTCGTCTCCCAGCTCTTGGCTATGTCTGAGCCGATGCCACTGTCCGGCGGGGGCAGGCGTACGGCTTGCTCCACAGCCACGCCCAGCTGAGGATCCTGGCCTACGTAGTAGCTCAGATTGGCCGTGCACAGCTCAAAGCAGTAGTTGCTCTCGGGTCGCGGATCGCGATGCGTTTTAATTGATAGTAGCTCGGCGAGGGGCAGCTCCTTGTGGTACTTGCTGCCCTGCTCCGATATGAACAACGTTATGGTCTTGGAGTCCAGCCGCCAAAAGTAGCGCTTCAGCGCCTTGTCCATGGAGGTGTAGTGCACCAGCCAACCCTCCTTGATGGCCTGGCCGCCACGTTTCTTTGTGTGCTTCACGGACTGCACAATGCGCATGAGGGGTATATTGGCGCTAGGTGAAGAGGAGGATGAGGATTGCGACTGCTCCGACTGGCCGTCGCTGGATTTGGTATCCCCCGCAGTGCTGCTGCTGCTGCTGCCATCCATGCCACCATTGACTAGCTCCGGTGGTGAGTTATGTGCATTGGTCAAGGCCTTGGGTGGCTCCCTTGGTCGCCCAGCTACCAGATTTGTGCCGCCGCTGGCTTTGTTATATTTGGCATATTCAGTTTGTGGTCCATCTTCAAAGTCGCTGTCATCGAACTCCTCGCGAAAGAAATTGTCGCGCTCCTTGCGCGGCGTCCCATCGTTAATCTCCGCCTGCAATTGACTGAGCTGCGTCTCGCCGGTGCAGTCCTGCGGCACCTTATCCATGCACTTCTTGTGAGTATTGTACTGGCAGTCGCGGCACTGCAAGCCCTGCTTGAAGAGGCCCTTCAGCAGCTTCTTGCAGTGCTGACAGACCGTGGGTATGCCGTATGTGTGCACCATGAAGGTGTGCGGAATCCGGAGCACCATCTGACCGTTCCGGCTGCTGGCGGAGTGAGTGCGCTGATGACGGCCGGTATATCCTGGTATGTTCTACGGACGAAATGCAAATAGTTTTACAACAAAATAATCGTGGACGCGAGCGCTTGACTAGGAGATGCCCTACTTCACTAGGAGACTCCCTTGCAAATTATGGCTGCCATGCATTTCTATCAATTTTGGGGTAGAACAATTAAAAATTTCAAATAAAGTTAATCAACGTGAAACTATGATATAATTTATAGAAATTGATATATATATATATATAGGAGCAGTCGGACGAACGGGGTTGCCAGGTTTTGTTTGTCATAAATATCATCAGGTTATATTAATTTTCAAATCCTAAATAATTCTCTTTTTAATACCTAAAAGTTTATCGTTCCAAAGCTTGCGCGATTTTAGAATATTTTAGTGCAAGCTTAACATAAATATATTCTGTTCTCCACTCTCCACTCTTCTCGACTTGCAACTGTCCACGCCCATTTAACTGTTCCCACTATTAAGCCGTTTAATTGAATTTTAATTGAATAACGTTTCCCTACGAGTATTTAACTGGATTTCAAATAAAAGCCACTTAAGCATTTTAGCAAAATTAAATCAAGTTTATTCAAATGTAAATAATACAAAAAATTAAATGCAAAATTAAGTAAATAGTTTTGAAATACTCGTAGGGAGCCCCGTTACCTTACCGTTAACAAGCACTCGCTTATAGCCACACCCATATGTACCCCAGTTTGTGGCCCACATTTAATTCTTAATAATATCATTCATAAGCTCCGACATGCGTTTTACCAGTGAACTGCTGGAGTCATGACGACCCGTCGACTCCTCGTTGGAGATAAGCGACAGCTGTGAGCTGCCGGATGGGCTGCGGGGCGGCTGCAATGTGAACGAACGTCGCGATGTGGCATCACTGGACCGGTTGCAATTGTTGGGTATTTTCACCACACATCGTTTGTGATAGTTTTGACCACAGCCTGTGACGGGTTTATGGGAATAAAGTATACGCCACAATCGAGTTAGTTTTTATGAGACAGGATGCGTGCATGTGTGCGAGTGTGTGCGGGTGCGATTGTGTGTGTGTGTGTCTCTGCTGTCAGGCTACATACCATCGCATTTGAGTCCTTGACGCACCAGACCAAACAGCATCTCGCCGCAAAAATCACAGAATGTGGGCGCCTTATAGGAGTGCACGTTCAGGCTATGCGGCTTCAGTGTTGGCATTTCCGATGTCGGATACAGTATGGCTGTTGGGGGCATCAAATGGATATGGTTGATGACATTTTTGTTAAATGGCTGTCACTCCTCTCGCTCGCAAGGCAGAGATTGAAGGTGACGGCGCGTGCATTTTATATACAACTACTTACGACTGGCTGTTAATACAATTTCCACCAATGTCTCGTCCACAACTTCCGCGGCGGAATTGATAATGTGCAGCACATTGGGTGTGCTATAGTCATGTATGAAGAGCAGTATGCGCTCTGACAGATATGTGAGTCCGCTATCTGGTATCTAGCAAAATACAAAGAAGAGCGAGAGAAACACAGTTAGAGAGAGAGAGAGGGAGAGGCAGCGAGAGGGAGCAACCTTTTGTTAGTGAGGACAATGTCAATTTTGATGTTTTGCTTAATTTAACGCTCATTTTGCATATGGTGTTTTATCATCATACTATATCAGTTATCATAGCCATATCTTAATTGATTGTGTGATAAGATTCTGGCGTCAGCAGACATACATATGCACGTATATATAACATATATATACATATACATATGTATATATTATCAAATGTGTTATCGATATCAATTAAAATAAGGCTACAAAAATACTGTTACTTATGCCTAATGAAATCAGTTGAAACATTCTATGCTTGAAATACTCTATTAATGAGGTATTACCCATACATTAGCGCGATTTGCCTAGTGTGTTTCTATCTATTATCTATCTATTAGCTATTATAAATCATATCATAATCATACTGCGCTTGCAATTCGCTCATTGTTAGCTCATGGATTTAAATCATTTCGTACGAAATATCCTGGTTATATTATATAAGCCTAAACTGGTTCTAAATCGAACCGACTTGTGACTTTAATTTTGATAACTTTGGTTGACCATAAACCAAACCTTAAATCGGAAAAGCTGCCTATTCTTTAAGACAAATACAAACCAGTACTCACATTTTTCAGAAGAACAACAATAATTTTATTGGAATAGTAAAAATAATTATTTCTCATTTATATTATATAATAATAATTTATAATAATAGAATGTGTTTTATTGAAAATGTTATTGGCTCGAACCGTTAGCTGAACAACCAAAAATTTTTTCTGGGCTTGGTTTTATTCTATTATCATTTGTTTTTTATATTTGTGCCATATTTATTTAACCCTCTTTTAACTTGAAAGCATATTGATATTTGAGTAAAATACCATTATAAAATATTGGGCGAAAATAGGAAGCCCTAAGTAATTGTGACATTGTTTGCCACTTTCCAACTACTTGCGATATATTACCAAGTTGGTAACATAGTCATCATTGCCCATTATTTAGTATGGACATTGAAAAATGATACTTGTGTCGGCGGGAGCAGCTGTCAAAGCTCAACAAAGCGTCGGGAAAGGCCACAGAATGTGCCACGCGCGTACTGAGTAGCATGGCGTTAAGGAACGAATGCTGCTGATTCGGGCCAGGACTGGAGGCAGTGTGGCCCAGCTGCTGCTGGCTACTAACTGGTTAATTGAATTGGTCATGGATAACAGCGCAAAACGGAAATGTCTACTCTATGTGGCTCCGACTTACTTAATGAAATTAAGCAATTATAGTGCACACATAAATTTATTAGGTACACACTCCTACACAAACAAGCCCACACACACACACACGCACGCACGCACACACAGGCATAGTTGCTAGTATGTTAGAATATGCAATCTATAGGCCAGTGGAACATGGCTAAAGTTGGTCTGTTGACTTGACCGCGTTCCGCCTGAGCGGCTAGCAAAAAATATTGACTTGTTGTGTGTGTTTTCTGCCTTTTGCATAATTAAGTCGACAGATGTTGACCCATTTATGCGATCCCAGCTATCCACAATTTTAATACCCCTTTAAGGGGTAGCATAATTTTGTCATGAAGTGTTTATAGCTTAAAAGGACACGCTTTCCATCCTATGACGCTTATATCGATTCTTGCTCAGCCGATTTCGCCATCTCTGTCTTTCTGTCTGTTTCTATGCGAATTATTCTACTTTTGAAAATAGATCCGTCATTTTGCTGCAGTCAGTTCATATAGCCATGATGGTGTTATCCGAGCCTACCATGTTTCTTATCAACATTGGATTACTATATCATATAGCACTTTAGGAAGAATCAGTCGAAATAAAGTTTTCTGTATGGAATGTAATCCAGTTTTTCCGAGATATTTTGACCAAACTCCTTAATTACGAGCATGACGATTTTCCTCGCATATCTGCAAAACCTTAAGACATAGGTCAACAAGGAGATATAATCTTTAGCGTGCCGAAGATAGGCTTTCTTTCTTGTTTTTTAGCGTATCTCTTAGCTGAGTATATCTAGAATATTTCATTTTTTTAATATTTCTCACCCCTTCACCCAAGATTTAAAGAATTTGTTATAGCTATACCCTTGGGCTTTAGGCTTTACACACATTTGGATGTCATATTTATGCCCTGAAAATTTGATAAGAATCGGACAATAAAAACCGAAGTTATTCAGGAACGCATTTTCAAAAGTGAAGGATTAAGAGAACAAGGTCATCCGCTGCATGTATATGGGTCAGGGTATCTGCTAACCGGGCAGCCCCGCACTTTTGCTTGTTTTTCATTTGTTGAAGGAGGAGGAGGAGGAGGTGGAGGGATTAAGGACAGGTCGATGGCTAAGCGCGCACTCACCTTGGTGTTGATGAAGTCACATGCCAAATCCTTGAGCGATTTGAGCGTGAGCGCATTTACCGGTACACAGACTGCATCGCGAATGCTGCCAAATTGAAAGAGAAATGTTACCTCCGGCCCCTCCATGATGACGGGCACGCTGCCAACGCCGCTGCTCGCGACGCTGCCAACGCCGCTGGCGCTGCCGTTGCTGCTGTGGTGTTGTTGTTGTCGCTGGGCCAGGATTGCGTCTTGGCTGCACCGCCTCTAGATTGGCGTTATCTCAATAAAAGTTACGCTTAATGCTGCAAGCTGGCAGCAGCTGTTTCTTCCTGCAACTTCCGCTTGGTGGCCCTGTTTCAAATGCCAAGGACGAACGATGTTTTGTACTATTTTTGATATTGCTTTAATCCCGCGGCTGTTGTTGTTGTTGTTGGACGTTTCAATGAAAGTTTGCGGTTGGCTTCGGATTCAGTCGGTTTGTAATCTTAGACAGCCATTAACGGATTTTAAATGTACCTGAAATTATGTCCAAAAATGAAATATTATTAGTTTAGCTTCTATCGACATTTATTGGCAGACGAAAATGCACTTTATTAAACCGCTGCCCATGAAATATAAAGCAAAAATCAATTAAAATTTGATGGCTTTTGCATGGATACGTTAATGGTTTATAAAATAATAAAAAAGAAACAAGTAAAAGTGCTCGTGGCGGGAGTGCCTGACTGGGAGATACCCTTTTGGGAGAACGGGTCAGGCATCAAAAAGGGAAATAATTGGATTCTGAATAAGCAATTAGAAAACCTATATACTAAACTTGGGGAATCCAGATTTTAGATCGAATTATGGCATCGATATTCTGAAAAACTCTGTAGTTATCGTTCTTTTATTATATGCGAGAATATCTGTATATTTTAAAATTAAGCCTTATACGATTTCATTCAGACATACATGGCTAGATTAACTCAGCTCGTCGTCCTGATCAAGAATATGTATACTTTATGGGATAGGAGATGCTTCTTTTTGCCTGTTACATGCACTTGCACAAAATCAATATGTCCTTTTTTCTTGTTAATTGTAAAGGGTATAAAAATGCAGGCGCAAACAAATACGATTAAGCTACAGTGCATCAAAAATAGAATGCAATTATTTATTATGATTCGATTTGGCAAGTATTTTTAAACTAAGAATATCTATTTATAAATTCTTTGGATCTTTTTCTCCTATGTTTGGTTTTCAGTAAACAGTTTAAAGATTGGAATTTAAGTCTAGAATATGTATAAACGTATAAGATATATTAATTTACTATAATTGATACATAAGATATATCTATTTGCTATTGATTTCACTCGAGTCGCTGATGAAAATAACTTTATGGAAAGATTTACAATTTCAAAGTGACAAAAGGTTCATTAGACATATCGAATTATGATTTAGGGCACGATATAAAGCAACTAGCAGATCAAAAATGTAATAACGGGTTTTCTATTAGCACTTTATCAATATTCAACATTTGAGTAAGGTATGGAGTTAGAGGATATAGAAGAAGCTGTGACTTTTGCAGTAATAGTGAGAGCTTCTTTTTATAATCTGAACCCATTGAGAATGGGGAAAAAGGGAAGAATTCCTATGTATGTTACGTTTGTAACAGAATGCCAAAGAAAGCATCTCCAATCCTATAAGGTATAAATATTCCTGATTCAAATCTAGCTACGTTTGATTATTATGGGAGCTAAACACATCCAACTTGGTATATAGGCTCTTGTATAGCTGATATTAGGAATATTTCAGTTTTTGAATAGCTGCGCCCAATCTATCTAAAATGAAAAAATGTTTAGTATCCATAGCTAGAGTATATTTTGGGATATTTAAGTGTCCAACCCTTGAAGTTTCATAAAGATCGGACAACAAACACCGAAGCTTTTGAAAAATGGATTTGCCATAGTGTGAGGCTTAGAGACACTGCACAGCTTGCGTGTGAATGGGTGTGTATAGGTTTTTTATGTGTGTATGTATAACAGTAAGTTAGAATGTTTGTAACGAAAGTTTGGCGTTTCAGAGTATCTTCGAGTCGGATACGCCCTTGAGAAACTAGCGTAAGTGGGAATCTATATGAAGAGCTCAATATCTTAACATTTATTAAACTGTGAGTAGGATAAACGAAATAATTAAGAAAATATATTGGCAAATAGTAAAAATATTTGCTTATCACAAAATAAATAAAAATAAAAAATAAAACCAAGCTCAACTTATACTAATTGAATTTACATAGTTATCCCAAGAGCACTTAGCACTCGCTGTCTCAGGCAATAATATTGTTAGACTCGACTGTAAATAAATTGAGCCAATTCTCTCGAAACCCTTTTGAAATCGAATCGTTTAGTAAGTTAGGTCATGGCACGTGTATCTCAAAACAATGGAGCTATAAATATTGTTTGATTACGTCGCCTGCATTCGATTAGTTCAATATATATTAGATATAGTTAATTGGGTTTATTACAAAAACCGGTTGCTAATTGCCGTCAGATGAAACTAAGTATGGGAACAATTCTTTATACACACACACACACACACAAAGAATTCTATAGAAGCAAACAAAAAATGTGAATAGTTCATGTCAAGAAAATGCCAGATATTAAAAGCAATTAATAATGAGGCTCAACACGGGCGGGGGCCAAGAATGCAGAGGGGCAAACGAAAGGGAGGCAAGTACATACGTGCACATATACATACATATATATATATACATATATACATATGTATGTGTGTGTGGAAGACCAGAGGCCCAAAGTCAAAGAAATGAAAGCCAAGCCAAGAAAAAGACTCGAACGCTGCGGCCGACAAGCAACTTTCTAAATTTTTAAGTAGGTGTATGGAGTGTAAATGTTGTTGTTGTCATACCCTACGCATTTAAACAGTATGAAAAGGGTATACCAGTTTTATGCAATTACATGTTACAGGCAGAAGAAAGCATCTTCGAGGTCTTATAATCATCTTTAATGTGCTTATCTTTATTTATCTGTGCATCTGTGTCAACGCGCCGATCTCGAAAACTACAAAAGCTAGAGATTTAAAATTGAAAATATAAGTATATTATTCTATTCCATATACATAAAGTATTTGTCGCTTATTTTCGATATATCCACCCATTTTCGTAATATCGATAAGTTTAGATTTTGAAACATGTTCTTTTTAGAACAACTCGAAAATTATAAGGAATATTTCTCTTTTTGTAAGCCTTTCTCCATTCCCTCTAAAATAAAGAAAACAACAAATTTTATTTAGGATATACACTATTTTGTATGCCATATTTAAGTTTTAAAATTTTCAAAAAGATCGGACTACCAGAGTTAATCAAGAATGCATTCCCCATACAAAGTGTGGAGCAAATGTAAGAAGAAGCACAGCTGCTGTATGTACATATGTCTAAAGGGAAGCTCGACACTGCTTGCAGGGTATCTTCTAGTCGGGTTACGGCTGTTACTGCAGCTGCTGCTGCTGCTGGCAGAGGGATAAGCGCGTAGGAATCAAGTACGTTTCGTATTTCAATTGAAGCTGCTGGCCAAATGGGAGAGGCTGTGGACTGGGACTGGGACTGGGCTGCGATGCTTGGAAGCAGTTGGAAACACTTCAAGTGGCTGCCTGAATTTGAGTAGCAAATGACGCAGCGCAGAGCCTAAAGCCGATGCTGGCATTTAACACAGACACACGCGCACGCACACACGTAGATACAGCATTAAATCTTATTTGTATCTATGAGATACAAAAAGGCAGCTTTGAATTTTTTTGACATTTACATAACAGCGAGCAACAGCTGCCCCGAACACGCAATTGTTTTTTATTTTCAATACTTATTTTGATTTCGATTTATGCTTTAGATATCTATTGAACAAAATTTTGATGCACTGTTTGCATGCAGCAGACGCTGGCCACTCTTTGTGGCATTGTGACTAACCCGTTATATATGTTGTTGCTTTGTGTTGTTGTTGTTGTTGTTATTGCTCTTGTCTCTTCCCAGTTATGTTTGTTGTTCTATGCGTTGCAATTCGATGTCGTTGCCATTGTCGCCGCGGCACGTTCTGTGTTAACTAAGTCAAAAGAGCAACTGATTTGGCCAACTGACTGAAAATGCGACAATAGCAGTAGCAGCAGCAGCAGCAGCGGTGGCGACAGCAGCAGCAGCAGCAGCGGTAGCAGCAGTTGGCAGTGGCAAAAGCCAACTCAAAACCCGTTTTACTACACCAACACACACACACACATACACACACAGCGACTGCTCTTTCGCTTGCAGAGAGAGTGTGAGAGAGAGCGCGCATCTGGGTGTGTGTGTGTGTGTGTTTGGGCATGTGTGTGTCTGCCTATGAACCAAAGCACTCGACCCAGCACGACAGCTCGTCCCCCAACGAAGCCCCCCTCTCGACGCTTCCTTGCTTTGTTCTATGCCCCATCGGTTTATGGCTCTTCGCCCCATAATATTCGCCACTTTGTTTGTTTCCTTTGTTTGTTTGTTGTAACGACCGTTGCCAGTGCCACTTCTTCAGGCGATGCCGCTGTCGCTGCTACTGCCGCTGCTGTTGCCGTTGCCTTAAAGTAATCAACTAACATTGTTGTTGCCACTGCCGCAGTCGCTCCGATTTTGCACTTTTTCTCTTTTGTTCAACACCGCTGCCGCCGCCGACGACCCCCGCCCCGCACACCCAGCCACTTGGTGCGCGCCCATTTTGTTTCGCTGTCATTGTCAAGGCTGTGCGAAAAACTACCTGTGGTAGCTGATAAGCGATTTTCATTGCGACACACCGCAAATTTCTTTTCGCCTAGAGATGCGTACGTGATGTGGAAAATTGCTTCGATTTCGAAATACCCTGTATTTTTTGTCAACTGCATAATTCACATTTAAAGAAACTCGAGCTAGGTGAACATTATAGAGGAAAATTGGTTATTTATTTGCATACCTTTGCATACCCATTATAAATGAGTATAAGAGGAATCTCCGATTCCATAAGGGGACCCCCCGCCACCCCTCTCAACAATTCTTCCAGATACTTTAATATTGATTTTGTAAAAAGGTAATACATTCGGATATTTTTATACAAATCAACAACATGTGCATAAAAATTTTAAAATGTTTGTAACGACAGCTCAGCGCTGGGTACAGGGTATCTCTATGTCGGACACTTTGCATTGGCGCACTATTTGTTTATTAATTCTTTGAAAAATAAACTATTCTTGGAAATAAACAATTACTTTCATATTTTCTGCTAGCAAATTTCTTCTTTGAAAACAATTATAAATACTTTTAGAATTTAATTATTCAATTGATGCTTATAATTCTCAAGTGGTTACAGCTTCTTACCAAAATGCTGATAATAAAACTGTAAAAGCTTAACTTTATATTTATAGTTTTTTTTTCAATATAAATATAGTTTCCTGTTGGATTACAGGGTATTTCTTAGTCAAATGACAACTATCAAGTC